GACAGCGGTTCTGCTAGCTTGTTGGCCGCAACCTTCGGTGCCTTCTGGCGAATGTTGTCTGCTCCCGGAGAGCTATGATCGCGCAGTGAGAGTAACTTCCTTAGAACAACTGATGGGTTGAAAATTACATGTGTAAACAGTGAAGTCGGTAATGTGCATGACATTATGGGACAGGTAAAGGCTGCGAGTTTGCAAATTGTGGTGTATTGTAACCGCTTGGTATTAGCTGCTTCTTCGGCACTTATTACTCTACCGCCTGTCGTGAAAAGTGAAGGATTTCATGCCTCACTTTATGAAGATTGTTGACATGCCCATACAGCAGTTTGTTGTTTGCCAGGAATTTTTTGTCTAGGCACTGTTAATAAGTTACTTTTTCCTCACTGACAAGTGCAGCGCAATGGTTGCGATGGGTCAGGAAATTGTCCCAAGTCTATGCGTCGGGGTTAGTCATGTAGGCACGCCATGCTGCATCCCTTATCGTCAGGCATTTTCGAGTCCTGCGCCTTAGAATTGAAGGCATTGTTGAGAGATGCAGGGGCTTGCTTTCTAATACTCTGTTGACAATGTCTTTGAGTCTATTAACAAACTCTGCCCAAACGTTGTCAAGGGGACCGTTGTTTGAGAATTTCCAAGCAGCTGCGGCGGCGAGTTCTTTCAATACGTGGTAGCGTGTGATTGCATGAGTTAGTTCCGAGTGTTCAGATGGATACTCTGCATTATACACATAGTTAAAAGTTATTACTACATGGTCACTGAGACCTAATGGACTATCCATCAATAACTTGTCAACCAGGAGCTCTTCATTCGTGAGCACAAGGTCCAATATTGACGGTTTGTTTGCTGTCCTGAATCTAGTGGGCGTGGTGACATGATTGTACAAGGGAATATTAGCGATCAGTTCCTGCAAGTCTGCTTTGAACTGCTCAATGGGCGATGCTGAAACTAGATTGTGTAGACTGAAGTCGCCGGAGATGAGAATGTGGCTTTACCTAGTGCGTGTTAGTCTGTTTAGGCCACGGATCAAGCAGAAATCCATTTCCAGAGCGTACTTTGGGGGGCGGTAAACGACAGCTACGAGACATGCGTAGTTGTGTCTTAGTCGGAGACGTCACCAGAGTGAGTCGGTAACGTCTGTTTCCAGATCATCAGCTCTTTTACATTGTAGCTTGCTGCGGTAGTAGGGTAGGACCCCACCTCCTCTACTGGGGCAGTCGTTCCGGATGAGTGACATTCCGGCTATCTCAACCTCAGCATCAGTCACCTCTTGGTGTAACCAAGTTTCGGTGATAGAAATTGGGTCCCAAGCATTCGCAACCTGACGCAGTCGAAGTTCGTTATTTTTACTGCGGAGCCCTTGGGTGTTAGTGTGCATACATGAAAGTTTCGCAAATTTAAACAATCTTTCGGAGGTTGTGTAATTCATATGTGAAGTTTCGCCGATTAGTGAGTGGCCGGCGACTAATCGTTTTTTCGATGTGTACTTGGTGAAGGGTTTAACGTATTATTCATCGTCCGCGTAGTTGCTCCCGTGTCTAATCTTCTAGGTACAGTGTAAGTTGTCTGGGCAATATCATCTTCTACAGGTAGTATGAGCTCATTCGACAAACTACTGGTGCATTGTTCTTTTATAGATCCCGTCCCGTTTGGTTCTTTGAGTGATATATCATCTCTAGGATGCATATCGCTGACTGTTTTTAACCGAAGCTCAGATGGTAGCCTGCAACGGAACATGTACCAGATTTTTAGCAGCCGTGCTACCATATGTTTTGACTGAAGGACCACCTTCAACACTCTCGAGCCACTTCCTTTGTAGTTCGGTGAGGTACGCAGTCGTGACACGGATTTCGTTAACACATCATCCAAGCAGAGTATTTCACAAATATAACACCACTGTTCTGTATCATGGGTTATTATTTCATGCTTGTCACATGCTTCAGTTTCAGGAATCCCGTGAAGAAGTATGGTTCTGGTTGAAGTTTCCTTTCGGTAGTCCTCTAAGATGCGGTTAACTCGATAACGCTCGACTCATGGGATTTCTAGAAAGATACGGATGGAGCAGTGTTTATTGCTTAGACTACCTGTCGACAGTAGTACCGAGTGTACTGCAGTAATGGAGTTCAGTACAACGCACAGAAATTTTGGCTCTCCGAAATGTTTAGAGTTGGGGTGTCGTGTAATACGCACTACGTGTACAGGTTTCAGTACAACTCCGACTAGGTTACTAATAATGTCCCACTGGTTGAGGTCATCCAACTGCCTGCCTCTTATCGATGTCGACTTTGATTCTGGGATATTGGAGCACATTACGCTCAGTACAGGTAGTTGTTTCTTTACACCTTTCGACATGGCGCGGTTAGTGATTGAAATACTCAATGATGTACCGCAGGAAACCGCTGGTGCTTGCACTAGGAAAACTCCGCTACGCTCCTCAGTGTCCAATCTACTTGGGGGTGACGTTAATCTTAAATGACGGCTCATCTTGGAAGCAACCGTAACCCGACTTTCGCTAGTACCGGCTTGCTGTTTTGCTACGCACTCCGTCGGGAGTTTGTAAGTAGCCTTACGTGTAGTTACTCCGATCGAACTTGGAACCGTATTAGTCAAATGTGATCCAAACGTGCTATTGGAACAGCAGTTGATATTCTGGACTCTAGGTGTCTTGTTGATTGCGGTTTATTAGCAGTTCTTCACGGGTCAGGAGCAGCAACCAAGGGAAGGATTAGGTTGCACAGTCCGCCATGCTTACCCCAACCATTGTGATTTTGGTGGTCGCCATTTCCTCAAACTTGGCTAAGCCTATGAATCGCGCCGGGTGCATTTGCTTTGAGACCTGTAGCTGCTCCAAGCAATGTTGGATTTCAACGAGTGACAGCTCGTTCAAAAGCCGTTGAAATGGTCTATCGAGTGAGACCAAACAATGTCTCCGATGGTTGGGGTTAGGCAACTTTTAGCAATTGCATATAGGCGAAACACTGACCGGAATTTAGAATTCAGGGTACATGTAAAATGCACTGGTGTGTACTTGAGCAAATAGTATCACAAGATGGAGCTTTTAAAAGCACATCGAATGCGTACAGATCCAAAGGTGTGCGACAAAATGCCGCTGAGCCACAGTGCAAAAACCACGAGTGCACAAGTGAGCGATTTGCACGCAGGTTCGACCAGCCGAATTTCCTAATATCTCTGTAGCTTAAGCTGCTGGCTAGTTGGCATCTGATTCCAGCGGTCATGGGTTCAATCTCCAGTATAGGACCGAGGGAATGCGCACCACTGGCGAGCTCCAATAGGGTGAAACGCGTCTGGAGCTTTTCCGGACAAGGCTGTGCTATATAGTTATTGAGCAACCGGGACGAGAACATTAAAAAATTACAATGAAAGTCATATCTTAACTGTTTTTAACGGTAGTCTGTTAGCCTGGAGCTGATTTTCAAAGGCGGCTTTCACGACCATCCAACTTTCAGCTAAGCTGTCTTCCATATAACCTTCGGGGCATGCCAGTTTCAATGATATTTCTGTGCTAGACATCTTTGTTGAACACGAATTATGATCCCTGTTAAAAACCCGATTTTTCTCTCCATATGCCTATCGAGTATTTAAACCGAGTAGCAAGCATGATCTTCCTGGCAAGGCTCTGTGGCCTAATCTGCCGACTAGTGGTGTTATCAACTAGCGGTCATGGGTTCCTAGCCCGGATTGGGACCGAAGGAAGAAGCATCCCTTACGAGTCCCAACAGGGCGAAACGATTGTCGTGACAATGCAAGCCTACAGAAAACCGATGTGTTTCCTGAAACCTTCGTTATTATGAAGTCCCAGTCAGTTCCAGGTTTATTCCATGCTAATGAAGGTTACTTTTTCTTTTTGTTTTCCACCACGTCAGCAAGTAGTTTGCGACACCGCACTGTTCCTTCGAGAGTAATCTAATATTGTTGTTGTCATCCCAGGACCGACCAGTTCAAGTCAGCGGAAGTACATCCACTAATATCTGTAGAGCATGCTTCTCATGTATCAGCATAGATAACGCAATTCCAATTATGTTATTGATTGTACGTGTTGTCCGGTAGTCACAGAAGTTGTGGGCAGAGTCTGTCCAAACTCAAATGTTGCCTCGCCGCTCCATTTTCGCTGTTCGTGCACAGCCGGAAGTGCTGCGTCGCATGGATGGCGTTTATCACCACTTTGCTTAAACTGAATCAGTAATCAGCCACTTTATAGTTCGTGTTTCGAACAAAATGACTGTAACCGTCTAACAGTTACATCACATCCTATGTGACGTAACATGCGGTATACAAACAAGTCGGCCTCATTCGGTCCTCTCTACAGCCCATCTTTTAGATCACATCGTAAAGCAATCATGATCATTGGTTGTATATCCAATATTAATCCACAAAATTGTCTATCAAATGCTGACTGGATAAGACTTATTTCTCGAATGCTACGTCGAGTTGGAAGAAACAGTGAATGTTGTACGCATGCAAGTGGCCTTCGTTGCATCCGATGCAACTAAACCCTGTGCATGCTCATGAATCAGGTGAGCACTCCGCAGTATGAACTCTCGCAGGTGCAATAGGACACAACTTGATTGAACAATTTTTTGTCCTGAGTAATAAACAGCCGTTCAATTAGTTTATTTTTTCGGCCCGCGATGGAAGCGTTGTCAAAGTAATGTCGCACAACGCACGGTAGCGTTACTTTGCCCAGTGGCGTAAACAGTTCCTGAGTTTGCACAAAATTTCAACTTGACCGCTTTTTTCGAAGTGCTGTTTTAGCCATAAAACTCGAGGTTATGTCAATAGGGCCCACATTCAGCGGTGATCGATATAACGATGCACGTCCTGAGTTAATGGATGTAGTTTGAGACGAACAGCTGCATGGCTACTAATTGGGCATCTTCACAGTTGACTCATTCTATTGTCTAAGCTGAGATTGTTGTTATCTCTAACGCCAGTCTCCAATTCTATACGTGGGAATAACCCACTGACCCGTCTCCTTTTTACCATAGGGAAACAAGCAACTTTAATGTGGTACAGTGAGATTGAGAATTATGATTTTGCAAAAGAAAACCAACTGAATTGCGGTGAGTCATTTTCACTGAATTTTTGGATCCTTAAACGCTGCCTTTCTCCAACTGTCCCAAGAGTTTGTGGAATCGAAACTCATACAAATGGTTGCCATCTAGACGGGAACTTCATTTCTAAACATTATCCAATTGTTACGGCACCAATGATTTACCTGACTTAACTAAAAGATGAAGCCGATGGTTGCCGATGTGGTGGGATCTTAGTACACACGTGGATAACTCGCCGTCATCCAGAGGAACTACTGTGGAATCTACACATGGCAGGCAGCCTATGTCAAAATTGTGTAAGGTCTTCCCCCTTGTGGGCAGTTCTGGTCCGACTCGTTCACCTTCGTCAAAAGTCTGTTGAAAAATGCGATCCCCTAGCCCATTTAAATCGCACTCAGGGTTCGCACAAGTGATGTCATGGCGTCTGCGCATTCCATTTCCGTTCTGCGTTGCGAGATGGCCCTAGGATATACAGGTGTTCGTGTCAATCAGGATGGCAATTGTACTTGGCGGCAAACCACGTGTGATTATGACTAACTGACGAGTTGTTAATGAGGAATTGTAAGCACTCAGTGCTGCAAGTACGACTATCTTGTGTGGAAAACGAAAAGTTCTCGTACTGTGAAACTACCTAGTCACAAGTTTCAGTATGGTTTTACCACTAAGGTTGCAACATCGCTCAGCCCGAGAGTAAAACGAGTGCAGGTGCACTGATGTGCTTACGTGGCTGGCCGACCCATCATTCAACCAGTGAGGTGATACTCGCACGATGAACACGTTTGGCTGGATACACTTGTTGATATGGCTAGCAGCCTACCTCAGTGGCGTTCGTGTTGTGAGTTTCTTTGTCCTAACCCATCCCTCTTAGCCTCCCTCTCCAAACACGTTCTCATTATTCAGCATTTTATAGTTTTACATAGTAAATTATTTTTTTCTGCTGCATAGTAGCCGGCGGGTAGCTTACCGGAACGATGCCCATCCGTTACCGGTAGCTCGGCTGGCTTTCACCTGTTGCAATTTATTCCCTTTTTTTAGGTATTGCGGCACAGTAGCTGTTGTGTTTCGCACCTCTAGCTATCGTGTATTGTGTGTGTGTGATACACGCACCGCACTAGATAATCAGTTCAGTTAAATTTGCTACGATCCCAAGTTTCCAATTCTATCGCGCAGACACTCCGCATACAATTCTCCTCCCACTTAAACGGACAGACTGGACTAGCCACTGCCAGCCACCTATGTTACCACATGGTCACCGGTAGGCCCATGCAGGTACTTCCTGGCTTGTGTCGAACTAGCTTAAGTGTAGCAAATCGCTGCTGACGTTGAGCGTGATCGGTCAACACTATGCGTAACAGTGGTGCAGATAAGTCTGTGTTCAAGAAGTATGTCGGCACTCCATGATAATGAGTGTCATTGCGTTATTGACTGATTTGGGGTTGATCATTCAGGAACTTTTTTGCGTATGTACACCTAGGTGCAATTTGAAGGCTTGCTGAGTGAGTTAACAAGGAACATGAAGTGCTTAAGCACTAATTCGATTATGCCATAGCTTCAACTGCTTGAAAAGTTGTAGTGAACGAATGCCCAGAATAACGCGTTCCCAGCTGGGTCAGCGAAGACCGTATGGATCCCAAGGCTGACAAACAAAGCAGGACAATTAACAGGGTTACTGGTTTGCGTCAGTGGCCTGGTAGTGCATCAGTACGTTGGGTTCAAAGGTATGTTATATCGGCTTAGTGGTAATAACTTTCCTTAACGAATTGCGCCGCAAAGCAAACGGTCCGGTCTTGTCGCTCATTTCTGCTACTGCGCAAGACGAACGCTTGCTATTGGCCCACCCAAACTGGTGATCGAAGGAGAGATGGCGCCTCAGTAGAGCATCGTTGAAACTGAGTAAACTGCTCAGACGCGACTGCAGTGCCGTTATTTATCAAGGACGCCTATGTATGTGCAAGTCCATAAAAATACCCTGCGCATTAGTAGTCACGGAAAAAGGTGCAATGGCGAGCATGTAATTGCATGTGCTGTGTTTTCCCTAAACGCGTGTATGTAGGGACTGATATTACGTGTGCTCTGATTGGGTAGGCTTATGGGTGCAGGCTTTCGCATAACAGTACTGATTACGTTCAAGTTCTTGAGCAGCCGGTGATATTCCTTTACAGGATGGTGAAAGGATTAAAGGGTAACTGATGAAAGAAGTTTCGTTCGAATGTGTATCCAGGCTATTCATGGAATCGGGGAGTTTACCCAGAGCAATGATGGAAATTGGGCCACCGTCAAAAGTTTGTTACTGTGGAACAACAAGATCATATACAATGTTTGTAATATGTTTGAATCTATTCCTGTAATCCAGGTATGATTCGTACTTTTGAACGACGCATTTGCGCGCATAAAGGAAACACCAGCAACCGTAACCCTTGTCCCGCTATTCAATCGGCAATTTGTGTTGGACAGCAAATGATCGCACGCAGGCACCTGCGTTTGGAGGCACGCAATCGTTTATGAAGTCTTGGATTTTGCTCTGCCATTTAATGGCATGCCTAGCAACCCTACAACAGAGCCAGTTCGTCAAGAACGGGGCGCTGAAATGTCACATGAGTCAGGCGGACGATCCATAGCTTCTGTCGCAGCGCGGCATGCTACCATTCGTCCGGAGTAAGCTGATCAATCAGAAACTTATTTCATAGCGAATATGACCGGTTGCCCTTGGGCCATGCTGGTTGGAACGAGAGAGGACGCAGAAGATGAATTCAGCAAGCTGTGCGAAGCAGGGTAGTGTTGAAACAACCCACAATGTTTGCAATGGAGACTCATTATAACAGCGTGCAGTCTGGCGGTCATTGCATCTCCGGAAAAGAACTGCAAGGCCATTTCATCCTCTTGAGAATGGTCAGCAGCTTGCATTCCATCTGTCCCCGACACATGCTTTCATGGTATGAGCGGTGGCCTCCGTAAGTAATCAAGTCATGTCGATTTATGTATTCAGGCACATGGGTAGACACATTTTCAATATGTTACACTGTTACTGGGAAAGGATAAAATACACAAATTAGATGTCTACTGCAGAAACTGATACGTATCACTAGAGCAAATAATTGGGCACCACGTTGATGATTCGCTTAGGGTCAAAAAGTAATCGTGACAAGTAAGGTAGGATAGATTTGTAGAAAGGTGCAGTAAACAGTATTCTAAATTTTGAGCATGTATAACAGGCTGAGAACTTTTCCTGTAAATTGACGTAGTGCGTGAAAAGGTCACTTAGAACTTCATAGAAAAAACCAATACAAGCATCTGGATGTTTTCTGATAATAAAAGCATCGTGGGTTTCTCTATAAAAACCAAAGCATCTAGAAATACGTTTTAACGACTGTACAAACAATGTGTAATCTTTTTAAGTAGCTCAAGAGAAATTACATTGAAACGGCGAATCCAGTCGTTTAGTTAATAGGCAAATCACAAGGTACCGGAAGTATTTTAATCCTACGCGCATAAAATAGGTAGCTTTGTAAAACGTTTTGGCGACATCAGCAGACCGAGATAAGTTCTGGAACAAAAAGGTCCCATGCAATCACTTCATTGTTTGAGACTACTGCTCCAGGAAAACTCAGCGACGGTGGATGATGTGACTTAACTGACTGTATTGCCACGGTAAATGTAACAAGTCTCCATCGAAATTTCGATTCCATCCCACCTTTCACAACTCTCTAAAAATTAATAACTACGTAAGCTAGATCCTAATGCTGTCAGTCGGTGGCAGCTCAATAAACGGAACTTCGCGGCTCAGGTGGCTTGACCCTATGCTTTGCACGTTGGAAACACTCATGGCAGTAGAGGACGCGTATGATTGGCGATATCCGTTACCCGATTTGACTATCGCTGCGGCCTCCAGAGGACAACCATAGGACGCCTGCTCTTTTATATGAACTACCACACACAGCTCTATCCATACACCCCATACCCAGCGTAAATCAGAAAGGATAAGACCGGGAGACATGGGGATGGGATCCACGTTTTAACAACGGCGCCGTGCCACACACGTTCAAATTGCATATCATTGATGTTTACATGGGGATTAATGCGTGCTAGACGTGCACAACGCGGTGGTTGGGCTGTAGCCGGTTCCACACTAGGTGAAACCACTTTATCAGCCTAGCGCGATCACGAGAATCGTGCACCCCGGCTTCCCAAACAATGACCAACTGTTTAGTGGAGCCTGTATAATCGAGGCAACGGTTTACGACAGGTACGTAACTTGCCAACATCCACATCAAGCGTAGCCACACCGGGGATATCAATCAATAGTCAACAGATGTAATTCAAAAAAGCAACGCGCATGCACACATACGGACCATCCTAAACGATTATGTAACACACAGAACACATTTGCTGCATTATTGGCCTCGGTTGGTAAATAGAAAGGAATCGAACGCAGCGTGTTCACCAGTCTCAGTACCAATGCTCACTTATTTTTCCTATCAGTCGTCGCTTGGTTGTTGGCCCCCTAGTGGCCACGCTAGTGCCTTACCAAGCCGGCTTGGCTGAGTTACTCGTGACGGCATATACTACAGCACCTTGCACTAGACGTCGATGGGGTAGAGTTCCTCGGTGCCTGTCGCTTCGGTGTCCATCGTTTCTTTTCCGCACGCAGTAGCGCTTTCTCATACACCTGGGCAACCCCTCCCTTGATAAACTTGCGCCTTGGAGCTTATAAACTGCCGCTGATTCCCAACCACTAAAATCAAGCTCAATTCGTGATAAACTCACCTTGATCATGTCCTGGTAACGTAATTTCGGTTTGCCCAAGTGCCGCGTCCCTGCACTAAGTTGACCATATAGCAGCTGCTTAGGTATCCGCGTCTAATCCATGTGTCGAATATGCCCCATCCACTCCAAGTGCCTCAGCGGAAGTACGAAGTCCACTGCGTACACGCCACTGAGGCTAATCACCTTCGTGTCAGTAACTCATTCGCTCCAACCGATACGCAGAATACGACACAGGTACTGCTGATGAAAACGCTTCAGATAACGGATGTCCTTCCTGATAATGCGTTCAGATTTCTCTGCCTTACAGAAGAACGGACAGCAGCATCGACCGGTATACATTCAGCTTCGTAGCAACAATAAACCGGTGATTCCTCCACACACAATAGTCCAGCTTGCCAAATGCAGCAGC